ACAGTATTCTCCGTGTGCCCATCTTTAACTTTTTTTTCTTTATGGTCCTGGTAAATTGTAATGGCTTTGGATTTGAGAGAGTTTACAATTTAAAAAAACCCAAACACACCCACACTTTACTGTTTACTATTGTTTTGGTTACCTCTTGCGATGTTTATTGTTAGAGCCAAATCTCCTCTTGAATTCCAGAGAGCTGGAATTTTTCCTCGTACCCACTAATAAGGAAACCGTTCAAGTCAGGCCTAAGAGGCCCGTTCCCTTTTGCCCTTCCCTTTATTGTGATAAGATGTGCATCAGGTCAGTGTTAGCATTTGTAGGTGGTCGGCTCTGTAGTAGGAGGACCTCCCTGGGTTGTGCAGCCACCACCACCATCTGTCCCTGGAACTGTGTCATCCCAACGTGAACTCTGCTCCCGAGAAACGGGATGCCCGCTTTGAAAGCATGGTTTACGTCAAAGATCTCAGGTTGGCGCTGCGGGCGTACCGATTCCAAACTGCTTTGCCTTTGAGTTAAAGGGGGGTGATAACTATCATCCCTGGGCAGCTGCACACCAGCCTTGTTAGGTAGGCGCCCCATTTTATGCCTGAGAGCCAGGTTGGCAGCACGCCCCACGCTCCCCTGAGACAGAGGCGGGATTTGACAGCTCTGTCTGGTCTGAGCTGCGCTGCGCCCCAGCTCGGGGTGATTCAGGTGACTCGTAACTCTCCCCCCCCAGGTTCATTCACATCCGGGAGCTGTAATATACTCAGAGCAGCTGTCTTGGTAATTGCTAGTCTGAGTTAAGTCCGTAACCTCACTCTGCGCTTTGCTTTCTTTATCTGTAAAGCAAAGTCATCCATCTGTGCGATCTCTAAGGGCCTCTCCATCCCGGTCCTGTGTGGTTCGAGACATTTCCATAATTGAGGCCATGAACTTTCTTATGCTCTTAAGAAGGGTGAAAGGGAAGTAGGGGGTTCTGGAAGCAGAAGGAAGACTGGGGAACACTAGGAAAAGGGGCACAGGCAGGTGCCCGCAAGGAGGGACAAAGCCCTTCCTCGCTGGGTCTGCCCAAGGGGAGTGTTTACTTAAAAGACTTCATCCTGAGTTTCGAAACCCGCATTTAAGTGGATAAGCAGTGAGCGGCAGGCAGTGCCGAGCCCGAGCTGACGAGTGGGCCAGCCTCCTGGTTTCAGATTTGGGTGTCATCTTGTGTCCAGTGGCCACATCAGATCCCACTGGTGCCACATCTGGAGATGGAAACAGGAAAGCAGCCTAGACGGTGGAGAAGGGACTGTCTGCGGGCTTCACTCGTTAGCTCATTTAATTCTCACCGCAGGCCCAGGGGGCAACACTTACTCCCCTTTACGGCCGAGGAACAGAGGTCAGATAAGGGGTGCAAGGCAGAGCAGGGACTCAGGCCTTGCGTGGTCTGGTTCCAAAGCTTCCTCCTACTCACCTACTTGGCAAATCTCCACCCTCTGTCCGTGTCTCAGACTTCCACACAGTCCGGGCCGCATACTCCGAGTTGCTCCACAAACACTAGTTTTAGCCCGTCTTCAAGAGAGAGCAGTGTACGCTCCACCCAGGTCAGGACTCCAGCAGACCAGGCCTGGGCGTGCGGCCTCCCCTCGGTGCATCAGGACTCAGGCCCACCCCTCTCTCGGCTTTGCTTTCCTCTGTGTAGTAATTCTTAAGGAGACTCGTTCTGTATGTTGATGAGAAATGCTCTCAGTCCCCAGTGTGTGTGGCCATCCTGGAGTTCCCCTTGGGCCTCTCAGAGGGTCAGTGCAGGAACTAAAGCAATTTGTGGTGTGACAGTCACAGATTACAGCCCTTTGCAAGTGAGTGTCGGGCAGGACCACCTAGGGCCTTGTGTGCTGCGGCTGTCGACTGTCTTCTGTTGCAAGAACGCACCATAGAAGGAGATGAGATAATTAGAAATTGGATTCTCAAGTTTTTAGTTCTAAGAAATAACAGCCTTCGCAGTCAAGTGGATAATTAAATTAGATTTTAAAAGTTTTCCCCCATCACAGAGAGTTTATGAGATCCGTATGTTGTTTCTTGGGTGTTAAACAGGGAGATCCGTTAAGGCTGTACTTTGTTGTGTATTTAATTTTATTTATTTAGACACATTGATTTGTTGCTCCATTTATTCATGCATTCGTTGGTTATTTCTTATGTGCTCTGACTGCGGATCAGACCCAGAGCCTTGGCGTGTCGGGATGACTCTCTAACCGACTGAGATACCCGGCCAGGGCTGAAAGATGACTTTTTAAAAATTAAAATTAAGTCATGCCCTTGTTTATTTATGATGATGATGATGATCATTATTTTAATCCTAACCCTAGGATTTTCCGTTGCTTTTCAGAGAAAGTGGAAGGGGAGGGGGGGGGCAGAAACATTGATGTGAGAGACACTGATTGGTTGCCTCCTGCCTGTGCCCCGACGGACCAGGGATCGAGCCTGCAGCCAGGTATGTGCCCTTGGCTTTAATCGAACCCGGGACCCTTCAGTCCACAGGCCGGTGCTCTAACCACTAAGCAACCCGGCTAGGGCCAGACCTTGTTCATTTTTGCTCTGACGCGGAGAAAAGATGTTGTAGGAGGAGAGAAAAGTCTGGAAGGACATGAGGAATTACCTTGTTTCAAAGGTGGGTTTGGACCTACCTGTCGCATACAGTCCTTCCCTGCGCCACCATTTGGAAGGAAATTTCAAGCGCCTGGGGGGAGGGAAACATGCATGAGGGGGGATGCGGCTTTACAGAGACTGGATAACGTGTGTCTCGATATGTTTTGAAAGGCTGCGCTGACCAGGCCTCCACGTCACCACACCAGGCCTCCTGGCCAGTGCCATTTTCCGAGAACGTCCGTGTTGTTCTCTGGGCTATGCTGTTGGCATAGGAGCCTGTTTAAGAGAAGGACACTGTATCTTTCTGTTTACTGGTTTAAATTTTGATCTGCCCATCTCCCGGGCCATTTGGTCCGCCCCGAGCCTCTGCGTTCCTCCGCAGTCTGGGAGCTCCCGGGCTGGGCCCTTCCCGGCTGCGGCCGCCTTCCAGCTGCTCTCTCTGCGGGTAGGAGGAGCGCCTGTTCTTTCTAGTTTACACAGCGCACAATTCCTGTAACTGACCCTGAGGGTTTTGACTTTCCTGTGCCTTCCTAGGGTGTTCCACAGACACCTGAAAGTCTTCCCCAGCTGAGCTAGCTTAGCTTCCAACAGGACAAACAAAACCCCCACCGCCCTTTATCTCCTTCCCAGCTTCCCTCTTCCTGCCACTCTCCCCAGCGTACGCATCTGATCTGAGCAACTTCAAACACTTCTTATCTAACCATCTTCTTCCTTCCCGTGGCCACAGCTTGTCTCCAGCCTGCATCCTCTGGGGATCTGTGGGCAACCCCCACGGTCCTTCGCTCCCCAGCCTGGCAGGGCTCCCGGTCTGTCCTGGGTGCCTTCCCTCCCCTGGAGCTTGCCTTTCCTCTCCCCGTGTCTCCAGGTCTCCCCTCCTTTGCGGTGGCTTCAAGCTCTCTGCGTGTCCTGACATCCCTGTTCCCATTTTGATCCTTCCCTTCGCTGTAAACTTACCGACCATAATGTTTCCTTTCCCTCCCCTGACTGGGAATCGAACTCGCAACCTTTTGGTGGATGCGATGAATCTCAACCAGCTGAGCCACCCGGCCAAGGCCCAAAGGTGTATTTTTCAAAAGCAAAAATGAGCCCATTTCAGGCGATGGATGCTTTTTTTTTTAATCTTCTTCCTAGTTAAACTGTAAGGCACACGTCGGTTAAGCTTTGGCCGCAGAACGGGAAAGATTGGTTTGGCTTTAACGTGCCTGCAGGCAGCCGGGCTCCAGGAGGTGTTTGTGTTCTTTGCCCGTCAGTCCTGTTTACCCACCTGCTGTGTGTCCTCTGACTCCCAGGCTTGGCTCTGAAGTTTGTTAGGGTTTCTCAACCCCCTCGGACCTCACCCTTCAGTTCACATTGACGTGACCTTGTATATTTATCTCTGTCCTATGGCTAAAGGTATCTCCACTAGGAATTGTAGCTCTGAAATATTTAAACTATTGACTTCAAAGTCGGTGGCCCTGTGCCAAGCATGCTTCTTCTGGAGGTAAATGGCATTGCTCCTGGCAGGACGGAGTCAAGGCCCGTTCACTTAAACAGGATGCCCTGCGTCCGAGAGGCCCCGCCTGTTCCTGTTTGTAGTCGGGACAGAAAGCCTTACGTTGAAGTGAAAACAAAACAGGTTTTTACCTCCTCAGTGATGGGATCATTCCCACAGGACACTGCCTCCCTGGGACATGTTCTCTATGCTGAGTGGGACCCGAGACCTAAATTCTTCTTTTATTTTTGTATTTTGCAAGCACATTTATTAAAGCTGAGGACAGTGAAACAGGGAAGGACCGCCCTCGAAGGGCCCTTAATAACAGCATTACGATTTGCCAACCATGTTGTTTTTCATCCTACCCCGAGGATGTGATTTTTATTGATTTTAGGGAGGGAGGGAGGGAGAGAAACATTGATGTGAGAAAGAAACATCAGTTGGTTGCCTCTCATACGCACCCCGACCAGGGATCGAACCTGCAGCCCAGGCGTGTGCCCTGACCGGGAATTAACCGGGAACCTTTTGGTGCTCAGGACGATGCTCCAACCAGCTGAGCCACTGCGGCCGGACCACTGCTGTTTTTATATCAGAACTACATGTAGGATTATCAGAGAAGCTATCGTAAGGATAAAATAGAGAACGAGATGACTGTAAAAAACTGAAACAGAATGTATAATGCATGTATTTCGTTAATTGCCCAGAAAAAAAAAGTCACGTTCACTATTTTTGTAACATGTTGTAGAAGACAGCATCTTGGTCACTTGTGCTGAGATACATGGTGACATCTGCTTTTGTGACGTTCACATGCACTTCAGGCTGAAGCGTACAAGTGAGATGCTGTGAGCCTCCTGAGCGTAAGCGTCTGTGGTTTTCGTCTCTTTCGTTCACCAGCTAATGGCCTGCAACCTGTTTCCTCCAGGTACGGCGTGAGTCCCGAGAACATTATTCTGTATGGGCAGAGCATCGGGACCGTCCCCACGGTGGACCTGGCCTCCAGGTACGAGTGCGCCGCCGTGATCCTGCACTCGCCCCTGATGTCCGGTCTGCGTGTGGCGTTTCCCGATACCCGGAAAACGTACTGCTTCGATGCGTTCCCCAGGTGAGCTCTCGCCCGCACCCGGGTTCAGGTGGATGCCACCATTAGCTGGGGGCCACTGATAACTATTTACCGAATGCAGCCGACCTTCACACCCGTGCTGGTGCCTTCAGGGACGTGGAGGTGAGTATGACACACACGCCAGCGGAGACTTTGTCCTCTGGGCGTGACTCATCTGTAAAAATCCACCCGATGACGTTTGAGGACCTTGCGGGGACTGAGGTCCAGGCTTAATTGCTTCAGCTGTACGTGCAGGACACAGAGCTCCCAGTTGTCGGGAAGGAACTTGTAGGTCAGTGCTCATGCATTCGTGTTAACGTGTTGTTGAGCCCCAGACAGCCCCATGCAAAGTGTGTGGCAAGGCAACTAGCGGTGGGCCACACACTCAGACAAACACTGCAGGCATCCACAATTTGCTTTTTTTTTTAATCTTCACCTGAAGAACATTTCCATTGATTTTTAGAGAAGAGAAGAGAAGCCCTGCCGGGCGTGGCTCAGCGGTTGAGTGTTGACCTAGGATCCAGGCGATCGGGGTTCGATTCCCGGTCAGGGCACATGCCCGGGTTGCGGGCTTGATTAGTGACTCTCTCATCATTGAGGTTTCTGTCTCCCTCTCTCCCTCTCCTTTCCTCTCTCTGAAATCAATAAAGATACATTTTTTTAAAAAAAAAAGAGAGAGAAGGGAAGAGAAGAGAGAGAGAAAAACATCCATGTGACACAGAAACATTGATTGGTTGCCTCCCACGTGGCTCCCCTACCTGGGATGGAACCAGCAACATAGCTATGTGCCCTGACCGGGAATCGAACCCGCGACCTTTCAGTGCTCAACCAGCTGAGCCACACCGGCCAGGACATCCACAATTTTGAAACATCTCTTCACTGTTTCAGTACAGCTAAAGGGGAAGGGGAAGTGAGCTACTCCCACACAATAAGGTGCTTGGGAAACTGCCACAGGGACAGGATGGGAATGAGCTTCCTGGGAGCCTTTTGCTTCATCCCCTCTCCCAATTTTGCTGGAAGACCCCAAGCCTGCGAACAGCCTGCCACCCCCTCGGGAGCATGGGACCGAGAGCCCGGGTTCTCTGGTTCCCACTAACGGAGGAAGAACAGTGGATAAATGCCCTACACATGCAGAGCAGCAAGCACAGTGGTTTCCTGAATACCTTTGTCTGAAAACGCTACTTCTTGTTGTTTTAAAAATCTAAGTTGAGGACATATTTTTAATAAACACTGTTTGCCCCCTAACCTGTCCCCCGGTACTTTGCTGAAGTGGGCTGAGGTGGTTACAGCAGGACTGGCTGGCTCACCCGAGCCTCTCCTAGGAAAGCCTCAGCTGAAATAATATCCAGTCTCAGGATTTTGATTGACCCGTGGAATTGTCGTCATTCTGCTGTTGCGGGGTGGGGGGTGGAGGAAGTTTGGCTACATCAGCGTCCTTTACACAGACTGTCTTGTTTCACAAGAAGAAACCTCCTGTTAACACCTTGGTTGAACTTCAGTTCTGAGCAGTTTGTACCAGGATTCAGTGAAATTCGGTGTCCTGGGAACGTTGAGTGAGCTGGTGTGGCCAGGAATGCTAAGTGGGCTGATGGTGTCTCAACGGTGGCCTGATTTGTGCTGAATTGGGAGTGAGAGGCCAGTTGGTTGAAAGGGAGATACTTAGCGTGCTTGTGGGAAACCATGCGAGGAGTTACCCTGGCAACAGAATGAACGGCTTTTTTAAATGGCTCCTAAATGAGCATATATCTCAAAATACAGCCATGACAACTCATTGCAGCTTGTTAATTAATAGTAAACTAGCAACCGGCCTTTACAGGGTAGGGTGTGTGCGACACTCCAGGCAGCCGGCTAAACATGATCTCAGTCTTCAAAACAGCCTCCAAGAGTCTGGTTACAAGACTCTTTTCACAGATTGGGAAACTGAGGCTCAGAGAGTGAAGTGTTTTTGCTTAATTAAGGTTGGTGAGTGGAGACAGCCAGAAAAGGCCATTCCAGCTATTCAAACCCATGAAGTATTAATGTGATCGATTCCAAACCATGAACGGTCACCCTGCCTCTCCTCATTGATTTCACTCGGGAAGCGTTTTCTAACCATGTCCATTGCTGCCAAATGCACTTTATACTTGTCTCTGTGTCCTTTAAAGGAGGGTCCCTTCCCATTTCCTTCTTTTAAACAATTTATTATTGATTTAAGATAGAGAGAGAAACATCTATTTGTTGTTCCACTTAGTTATGCATCATTGGTTGATTCCTGTATGTGCCCTGACCGGGGATCAAACCCGCAACCTTCGAATATCGGGACAGCGCTCTAACCAACTGAGCTACCCGGCCAGGTCCCTTCCCATTTCCTTTTACTAATAAAAAANACAACCTTCGCATATCGGGACAGCGCTCTAACCAACTGAGCTACCCGGCCAGGTCCCTTCCCATTTCCTTTTACTAATAAAAAAAAATAAAGAAGTCCTGATCGTTCCTTGGTTTGCAATTTATTTTGTTTTACCCTCTTTACGTTTAGAATCAGACAGTGGCATTTAATTTCAGATACACCTCTGGGCTGCAGAGATTGTTCCAAATTGCTCAGCATGGGGCACAGCCCCTTCCTTGCGCCAGGAAACATCTTTTAAAGAGAATGAAATTGGACTCTCTCATTCTTAGAAGAAGAAGCCCCTTTCACATTAAGTGCAGGGGGAAAGTTAGGTTTATAAACAAGGTTCTTATTCTGTGAGGTTGATTGCTGCCACCGTGGCTCTGATCTTGGCCATGACATGGCCCTGGGCGAGGTTTTGCCATCTTCCTGGACGTCTGGGACAGTTGTTTATAGATCGGAAGAATGTGGAGGAATGTATGAGTGACGTCAGAGCTCCTCGTTATCTCCGCAGCCTTGTGGTTGTTGTTTAACTATCTGAGTTTCAGGTCCCTCCCTTGTTATACAGAGATGATCTTTCCTCTCTCACGTCCCACTGAAGATGACATGAGGTTTTGTATGCAAAGGACAAAAACCTCCTGGCTGTGGTCAGTGTTTAACCAATGGGAGCTATTTCTTTTAACAGAAAGATCCCTGCAGAGGGTACCGGTTCGCATCCCTTTGTAGCTTTGATCAAAGACAGAAAGAGAAGTCAACTATAAGAGGAACTCTGGCAGGCAGACGGGCTGGGGAGAGGGTACTGCCTTCTCTGGATTTGCTCCCGGATTAAATGACCTCCCTGGGAGCGGTCTCCTACACACCCAGCCCAGCGAGGCTTAAAGTCTTCTGAATTCCTCCTGGGGAAATGCTTTCAGGGCCTGTAGCACGTTCTTTTGAAGATCCTCAAATATTCATCCTTTGGAGGGTAGATTTGATTTTTGTAAACAGCCAGAAATCATTTGGAATCAGGTCTGGGTATTACATTAAGTTTTCGAGCTACATCATACAGTTTTTATCAAAAATGAGACATTAGGTTTTATGAAATGCAGTTTGTGAGGATCTTGTTAATCAATTCTGAAGGATAGCTCTCAAAGAAGAGTTCTTAGGACCTGAGGGGCCAGGGATTAAGAGCTCAGCTTTCAAAACAGACACATGTTCAGATATGCCAAGTTCTAGCCTGTTTATTATTTTTAAAATCCTCTCAAAAATGCGACTATATCAGAAATATTAGTTACTGGATTGTTAGTCCAACAGCCTTTAGGAGTTCTGTTTTGAATAAATTGCTTTAACAGAAACGCAATGGGTAAATACAGTGTGCTATTCTCAATTATGCCCTGGAACAGAAAAAGACATCAGTGGTAAAACTAATGAAATCCAAATAAATAAGACCCAAGTTTAGTTAATGGTAGTGTACCAATAATGCTTGTATCTTTGGTTTTGACAAATGTACAGTGATATTGTTCAGTGTTAACCTTAGGGAAATGGGTAGGGGTGTATAGGAACTCTTTATTATCTGTGTACGTGTCCTGTAAATCCAAAATTACTCCAAAATGAAAAGTTAATTTAAAAAAAAAAAAGGAATGACCGGGGGAGGGGGGATCCATAGTGTGACGTTGTTTGCGAGCATAACTAAAGAGTCCTTTTTCTCCCCCCTCCCCTTTTCTGTTCACAGCATTGACAAGATTTCTAAAGTCACCTCTCCTGTGTTGGTCATTCACGGCACCGAGGATGAAGTCATCGATTTCTCCCACGGCCTGGCCATGTACGAGCGCTGTCCCCGAGCCGTGGAGCCCCTCTGGGTGGAAGGGGCCGGGCATAACGACATAGAGCTTTACGCACAATACCTAGAAAGACTAAAACAGTTCATATCTCACGAACTTCCTAATTCCTGAAGACGACTTGACTTTTACCTCATTTACTGTGAACACAAGGGTCCTCTGTTTTGCACACGCTTTAACTGGGTGGCGGTAACAGCGCGATGACCAGGAGGAAGTGCCCGGCCTGTAGGGTGTTCTCATCAAAGAGCTGGGGACACCTCAGCCTTGTAGCTAGAGAATTTCTACTAATTCACACAACCTCTTACACTGAACTGCTGTGATTTCCAGCTTTGTGACCTTGCGGGGATTGGGAGTGAGGGCTGGAGGCGGGGACGGGTTATCGTGCTATATAAGGCTGCTCCCATCTGTGTCTCTTCCTTACACATCACTTAGGATTCATTTATGCAGGACTCTCCCCTCCCTCCCCTCTGCCACGTCCTCTGCATTCATGGGGTCATCAGCCCATTGGTGAAGCTGTGATAGAGCAACTGGAAAATAGGTGACAAAAATTCCTTTAACTTTTGTTAACATGCTGACCTTTCCCCAAAAAACACATCACTTGAAGGGTAATTTACTAGAACTACCCTGAAACAGCTTCATTCACTGGAACCATAGAAATATAACTGGAATATTCTTAAACAAAGAGAAACTGGGTGTTGTTTTTTTTTCTCTTAAGTGTAAATTTATTACTAATCAACAGAGTTTTCCTATTTTGATTGGTTGGTCTAATGAGAGCCTAGCCGACTTTTCTCCTGGCAAGTCCTCCCTATAGGCTTTTTAAAAAGTCCTGTACATATTTGCAACCACATTGTGCATAGATTCTTAATGGGTAATTGTCCTTTGTCAGGATACAACAATGAACTGCAAATTCCTTGTTTGTAATGTAAATGATTGGATACATTTTGTTAATATGTTTTTATTCCTATGTTTTGCTATTAAAAAATTTTATAATATTTCCAAGACAAAAAAAGAAAATTACCAGTTTATGCTTTGAAGAATTTATGTAATTAAAATTTCACAAAACTAATGTTTTTAGTTTAGCAGGTATTTGGGTTTTGACACTGGAGTTGCATCTTATAAGCATCAGAAATGTAAGATGCTTGTTAAAATTGCTACGCTGCTCGTATTGGTTTGGGGTTTGGGTTTGGAGGGTTTTGGGGGGGTTTTATTTCCTTTTTTTTTCTTTCAAATTTAAAAGCCTTAAATGTACTGTCAGCCTCAGATCGTTGTAAAGCTGGATTGCGGCCGATTGCCAGTGTGTGTACTGTCGCTTGGACGCAGCTCAGCGGTTGGTCACGGAATAAAGGATGCATGGATCAGAGCCTGGAGCTTGTGCCGTTTTTCCTCCATCTCTCCCTCAGGGAAAATAATTAAGAAAACAGTGTTTTGTAGCGTTTCAGTTGAAGAGGAAACCCTCGGAGCTCACACACTTTGCCACCTTTCTCAAGGTATAGGCTTTTGTTTGGTAAGAGAACTTAGATGACTTTTGGAAGAAGCGAAGATATAAAACATGTAGCAGGAAAGGGCATGTGGCATCCAAGTAGGATAGGCCGCAGATTCGGGCCGGGGACCAGCTCTGCCAGTGAGGGAACGCTAACACCACCTGCTAAAGTGGGAAAAGCTTCTTGAATGGATGCATGAGCTGGTAAGAAAATAAAGGCTACGCGGGGGAGGGGGGCGCTTTCCAAGTAAAGATGAGAAGGGGGGCAGGTGCTTTGAAACCAGTTTTCTCTTGGAAGGAATGTGCTGAACCAGGTTAACCTGAGCGTTGGTTTCCCATCTGTTGGAGCTCAGGGGACCACAGAGAAAACCTAGAGCTCCCTCCACGGAGGGGAAACTACAGCGGCACCTCGGTTTTCGAACATCTCTGTTGGCAAACATTTCGGTTGACAACCGCTGTAGGCCCGAAGGCAATGCTTCGGTTTTCGAACAGGCCCGTGGCCTCCGCCGAGGGCAGGACCCTGAGGCCCGGCTGTCGCTGTGGATGCCTCGGTTTTCCAACACTTCGGAACTTGGGTGGGCTTCGGAAAAGGATCCCATTCGAAAACCGAGGGACCACTGTAGTTGGAAACTGGGGCCTCTTTTAGGGGAAAATGATACGATCATCTTGATAGACATAGAAAAAATATTGGACGGAGTTTCCATGCCCCATTCATGATCAAAAACAACAAAACATCAAACTGGGAACAGAAGGAAACAGATGAAGCAGAGGAAACGAGCGTTGCAGTGAGTGGTTCAACTGGGAGAATTACTCCACTTTAGACGGAGAACTGGCCCGAGCACCACTTCCCTCGCTTCTGCGCGAAGCGAGACAAGCTCCTCGCCAAGGGCGGTAGAGTGAAAAAGTGGAAAATGCATAAGAGGGGAAAGGGGAATATGTTCTAAAACCGGATTATTGTGGTTGCAAGTGTGCTCCCTCGGGACCAAGGGGAAAGCTGTCATCCAGGTTCCCCAATAAGGCCTATTTCACGTAAAGGAGGTGCCCAGATGGCACAGCCCTGCCTGCTGGGCACTGGCGCTCTGCTTGGCCCGGGCAGGCGTCAGGTGGAAAGCAGGAACCCCTTTACAACCGCTGACTGGGACTCGGACGGCTAAAATCCGCGCACCCCGCGCCGGAAGTGAGCGGTCACGGTGCCGGAAGCACCGGCGCAGCGCGGGAAGCGAGAGGTCGGTCGGAGAGTCTAACAGGTACGGAGTCCGCGACAGGCCCGGTCCGCAGAGGGCCGTTGGCTTTTATTATTTATAAAATTTAGGATCTCGGTTGACTACAGGTCACGTCCCTTAAGTGTCTCTCGTCGGGGTCCACGTATCTACAGGTTATTAGATTTAATAACTTAGCCAGGTTGCTCGACACAAAACCAATGCATGAAAGTCAACCTTATTTCTCTGAATCAGTTTTAAAATTAAATACAAAAAAGAAAGATGCCGTTTCCAATAGCGTGAGAAATATTAAGCAGCTGGGAGTCTTCCAACACCACGTACAAGACACGTTCTGGAGAAAATGATAAAGTTCTTTTTTTGAAAGGCGTTCGATGTAAATTAGCGAGAACCATATACCGTGTTTATAAATAAGAAGGGTCGTTATTGTTAATATAAACCGGCAGAATTAGTACGATTTCTGGCCAACCCGCAACAGGTTTTCCTGTGGAACCGGACGAGGGAATCCTCAAAGTCCCGTGGGAGGACACGGACAGCCGGGCACCTGGAGGGGGCGGGGCGGAGGGCGGGGCTTCAGCGGACGCAGGGACTCCCGGGTGCGGAAGGAGCCTCTGGACTGGAAGCCTCCGTCCTTCCAGGTTCTAGAGTCCGGAAGGGCCGCCCGGGCCCCAGGCGGGTTAAATGCCCTCCTAAGCTCTGGTCCAGCACCCTGTTCTCACCGGAGCGGAGCTGTTATAATTACTGCTTGAAACCCAACGGAATCAATGTCTAGATTTGATTTATTAAAAATGTACAAGTTGCGTAGTAAAAAAAAAAAGTCTAACCTAGTGACGGACTTGGGGGAACATTCTAAAGCATATGGCAGGTAATGTAAAAATATACTTAGTAATGAAACGATGAGGCATTCTTTCAACGAGCACAGGACACCAAGGGGACTGTTCATAATAGATTATTGTCTGTAATAATCACATGGAAATAGTAAAAAAAATATATCAGATAAGTAGAGATTTAAATAATGAAATTCCATTTTAAATGGTGAAGTTGGTATAAATATTTCTTTGAAGAGATTGTTGCTCATCATAATCACTTTTGGATTTAAGCAAATGATCTAGTGAATACATATGTCAAATAAGTAGCTTTAAACAATAAAATTCCATTTTAAATTGTTGGTATAAATATTTGAAGCATAATACCCATTGGTGGTAAAGCTTTGGATACATGGGCACTTTAAATGTATACTGCTGGTTTTACATACCAAACTGGTACAAACTTTGTAAAGTATACTTTGTGGCTTCTAGGAATTTCTTCCTAGAAAACACTCAAGAAGACAAGATGGGCTCAGATAGGATAATCACTACTACAATTAGTAGGAGTGAAAACTTGGCAACAATCTAAGTTTCCAGTGATTGAGATTGTTATACTTAGGTCCATAAAATACATTACTCTGCAACCGTCATAAATATGTTGTAGAATAATATTGAGTGACATGACAAGATTTTTCAAGATAACATTGTTCTGTAAAAACAGGGGCAACCCATTATCGCCTGTGATATGAGTCCCCTTTTCACCCTGCCCCTGCACACATCCAAACCTGGACCGAGAGCTGGATATGCAACAAAATGCTAACAAGTGTGTATCTCTGTGGTTGAGGCTTGTCTGGTCAATAAGTCTTTATAAAGAGAAAAGTCAAACCCACCCTTCAGGATTCACGTGAGGTGGTTATAAAACAGTATCAGTGAGATCTTTTGTTACTATACAGATGGTTCTCGATTAACCATGGTGTGATTTAGGATTTTTCAACTTTCAGACGGTGTGAAAATGATATGCATTCATAGAAAGTGTACTTTGAATTTTGAATTTGCATCTTTTTCCCGGCTAGCGGTATGCGGTTCGACAATCTTTTGTGATGCTGGACAGCAGTATCGAGCCACGGCTCCCAGTCAGCCACATGATCATGAGGGTCAACAAAGGATACTCCACAGCAAACTCATTATGTGAGAGAATTCTGCTCACTGTGGGCTCATACGCATGTGAGGTAGGCTGGGCTAAGCTATGATGGTTGGTAGGTGAGGTGTATTAAATGCATTTTCAAGTATTTTCACCATACGACAGGTTTATCAGACATAATCCCATTATAAATAGAAGAGTATCTGTCATTTGTTCTGGAACTCCATTGGATGGCAGTATCTAACTTCCCCAGAAAATGCTGCTTTTGCTGGACAGGACAGGTCATCCTGGGTAGAGTTCATTCCCTTGTGGGTAAGGGTTACTAATCCGGTAGATGAAGTTCATATCACTATCACATTCCATACCCTGCAGATCTGATGCCACTTCCTTTCAGGCTTGCCCACCAGGATTTCCCACAGAAGGCTCAGCCCTTCCTGTAGGATTGGGCACAGGGCTTGCTTAGCTGGGTGGGTTCCAGCGCAGAGGGCCCCAGAGGTGGCCTTGGAACCAGGAGGCCTGGCCTGGCCTTGTCCCTATGCTTCCCTAGACAGAGAGGAAAATACATATAACATGAAATTTGCCTTTTTAACCAATTTTAGGTGTACAGTTCAGTGGCATTAAGTACACTCACACTGTTGTGCAACCATCACCACCATCCATCTCCAGAATTTTTTATTTTTTTAAAAATATATCTTTATTGATTTCAGAGAGAGGAAGGGAGAGGGAGATACAGAGATAGAAACATCAATGATGAGAGTCATTGATCGAGCTGCAACCTGGGCATGTGCCCTGACCAGGAATCGAACCCCGATGGCCTGGATCCTAGGTCGACGCTCAACCGCTGAGCCACGCCCAGCCGGGAATCTCCAGAATTTTTTCATCTTCCCAAACTGAAACTCTGTCCCCATTAAATACTAACTCCCCTCCTCCCCCTCCATCCCAGGGCCTAGACCCACTATCTACTTTCTGTCTCTATGAACTTGACTATTCTAAATATCTCATCTAAATGGAACCATACAGTATTTGTCCTTTTGTGACTGACTTATTTCACTTAGCATAATGTCATCAAGGTTCATCCATGTTGTAACATTTAATTCCTTTTTAAAGCTGAATAACTTTCTATTGTATGGGTATCCTACATTTTGTTTATCCATCTGTGGGTAGACATTTGGGTTGTTTCTACCTTTTGGCTACTTGAATAATGCTGCTATAAATATGGGAATGCAAATATCTGGTGACTACCCTGATTTCAGTCATACCCAAAAGTGGAATTGCTGAATCACACAGTAAAGCCATTTTTTAATTTTTGGAGGAAACACCACGCTTCATCTGTGATTCTTAATGGGAGTCATGGGGGCCATGACCATGTCATACTTAGGATGTCTGTGCCTATGGGCATTTTGCTGGGGAGAAGTTCCATAGTTTCAACAAATTCTTAGAAGTGTTGGTGATTCCGATACTTTAAAAACAACTGGATAGTCTCTACAGGTTCTTTTAAAGCCAGTATTTTCGGATTCTGAGACTTGTGAGTATAGATTTTGGATTAAGGAGCTGTATTTATCCTGCTGGCAAGCCCGGTGAGGGGCATGGGTGGTGAGAACCCTGAATGAGGAGTTGAGCTCAGAAGCCTTTACAGGTCCAGGAGGGGGTGAGAGTTAGAGAGCCCTGGGCCTGGAGACAGCAGGCCTGGCTGTGAGTTTTGTGCCATGGCAACCA